GTTTTAGACTAATAATCATTGAGAAAATTAGTTTAAATATGAACTATAAAATTTTTGTTTTTTGTTAAATTTTTAGTTAATTACTGATTAAAATTGTATGAAACTTATACAGTACATAGAGAAAAACTTTGTTTTATAAAATAGTAAAATATTATTAAAATTGAATTGATAGTTATTGAAATATTTACAAAAAAACATAAACACTTATTAAATTTATCAAAACCCTAAAAGTAAAATTAAATAACTTGCTAATTACATCGATGGATATAACTATCACCTGTGTTTGTTATTTTGGATTTGGGCTAAACTCTTGATTTGTTTTATGAATTAGAGTAAAATCTTGCGTTCGTCGATTAATATGCAGTATTTCTCCAAAGGGAGTTAAACGACCTTCTTCATATGGTGGAGACCACTGATCCCACGCCATATAATAAATATACTGAGCCATATAATAAATATACTGATGAACAGGGAAGTCGTCTGGTAGACAAAATCCTGAAGTAAGGATAAATCAGTTCTATTACGTGCCGAACATTTGGTGTGAAATGTATCAAGAGCCAAGCCATCTCCACCTTGCAATGAGAGAGTTATTTCTCTTTTAGTTTGTTTTTTATTTTAAGGCTTTGAAGTAGGTAAATCTGAAGTATGATTTGACTTTGAAACATAATTCTTCATATAATTGATTCAAATGGTTTGATACCATTTACAAACGCTTCATTCTCTTTATCGTCAACATGATCCAAATCTATATATATTTTGGGTCAATACTAATAGTAATATTAGTTGGATTAGTGTCATCTGCCAATTTATTTAATTTATTAAATGATGATTCTAATTGGTTTGTTGCAGGTATAAATTTTACTCCGAAGAAGATTTAATTCTAATTTTATGTGTCTACTGTAATAATAAATACCTGTTCCTTCTTTACATCTATATAAGTTCCACCAAAACTTGTTTATAATTACGTAGTAACCGAGTCAATATTCTACTTTCATTGACTAACTTTCCCTCAATAGCTAGTAGTTTAGGTATTTGGTTTTTGGGCACATTCCAATACTTCGCTAATGGAGCGGATTGAACAGTTAACCGATTTTGTAATATAAAAATGAGTAAGAATAATAATAACTTTACTAAATAGTGAAAATACATGATTTTTAAAATAATAATAAATCTCAAGAAGTGCTTATTCAATTATCGATTCTTCTATAAGCCCGTAGTTATTGCTTATAAATATTTTCTGTCGATTTTATTAGGGATGTAACATAATATCTAGGGTAAGAGAGACCGTTGATGTTACACGACTGATCCTTCACCCGGTGTGAAACATATAAAAAAAATATTTTACAATGCCAGATCATTCCGCTAGTACATGTTATGATTATAATCCAACACCATTTTTATTATAATAAAATGATGTTGGATTATAATCATAACATGTACTAGCGGAATGATCTGGTATTGTAAAATATTTTTTTTATATGTTTCACACCGGATGAAGGGTCAGTCGTGTAACATTAACAGTCTCTAGGGTCCGGAATCGGACGGGTCGAGCCGGGCTTTCATAAACCCGTTTTACAGCTATTATCATAATTCCTGGGATACCTCATAAAATTAGCCGAATGATTTTTCGGTCGATTCGGTTAAGTTTATGATTTCAACGTAATAGATTCAATAAATATGACATACGTACGTAATTTAAGGTCAAACGAGTAATGTAAATTATATAAGACTACATACGGACGAATACAGTATCTTTGGCTGAAATTCGTGCAATATAAAATCTAATATATGCATAGTTCCTTTTTTGCATTTCTTGTCAAGATTAATTGGTTGACAAAAACAGACCTATCCGTAAATTTTCGTGTGAACTAAATATACCAAATATATTGGGCAAATATTCAAACGAAACTTTAATAATGTTGAATGTGTTGACATTATAATTTATAAAATTATCTGTAGAACAAAGTATTACAAGCAATATAAAAATATATATCTTTTATATATTGATCATGCCGAAATCACAAACTTAATCGAATCGGCCAAAAATTATTTGGCTAATTTTTATCAGAATTATGATACAGCTGTTTTCATAAATTCTGAAACACCTGATAAAAATCGCCGAATGATTTTTCAGCCGATCTGATTAAGTAAGCGATTTTGGCATGATCGATACATACGATAAATTACAATTTATGTTATATTATATACATATGGATTACATTGTAATTTGAAATATATTTTTTCGCACAGGCTAAACACACTACAGCACTAAACATGTTGGGCAAG